TTTCAGATTGGAAAATTTCTCGACTTCCCTGGGCATAGTATATTATTGTACATGCCACACAATACACACATGTAAAAATCAAACAGGCTTGGAAAGCTTTCAATTAGCAACTGTGGAAGTGCATCTAGAGTTGAGAGCAGGTGTTAAGTTACAGTTGGGACGTAATAGCCAGAGAAGATCATAGATAGCACTAACTAGCGGAGGAATTCAGAATTGTTCTGTACATCATCCAACAGTCCTTGACACCCTGATCAACTTTGCCGAAAAAATCATCCGTCTAAATAGTCAGGATCTTGAGATACAGCAGCGCAAACATTCACTTCGAATGCTCACTAGCGCCACCTAGCGGAAGAATTCCGAATTGTTCTGTCCATTATCCAACAGTCCTTGACTTCCTGATCAACTTTGCCCAAGAAATCATCCGTCTATATCATCGGTATCTTAAGATACAGCATTCAAATCATGCAAAATAGGAGATTTTAGGGCAAAACTGTGAAAAACCCCAACTTACCCTATCGTGCCCAAGATGAAACCCACTCCAATCGATTCCTGAGATTTTTTTCTATAAGAATGACTATTCTTGAGTCTCTTGTTCCAGCGAGCACCGAAGTTATTGAATTTTAACACATTGTTTCGATTTTGTCCCCAGTGTGATTGGTTTATTTAAAAAGTGACGCGAAAACTGTGAGATGGAGAGCTGCATTTTGCTTTTCGGCAATTTGCTTTTGTGTGGATCTTCCGCTCCTCCAGAGAATGATGGGAGGAGAGGTGAGAGCACATATGCTGGAATAATAACATCAGCAATAAGAGCCGAGTACATAAATCAAGCTGGACAATACATTAGGTCCTAAGTAACATTGCAAGATTCTCTTCATCGACTTTCTCTTTCGTTAATAACTTGGGTACCGAACCGGTTCTTATCGTGTTTGTCGTTTAAAATGCTAGATAGTAGCTTGTTTCGGCGATCTGTGTTCTGAAATTAGCTGACAATGTCTTAGCATGGCCGTGAGCAGAGATCGAAATTCTCGATCAGCTGCAAGATAAGCGACGCATCACTCAAGCTGCTGAGAATCGACCTCATATGGGACCTCCCTTAGCTCAATCGGTAAAGGCGCGGGTATCCTATGCGGTTTCTTATTTGTGATTCCTTAGTCATGCTCCCTATCAACTGGAAATACAGATTCCTGATTGTAATTTCCACATCCTTTTAATGAAAACAGTATCGTTGAAGTGATGCAAGACTTTCCAACAACATAAAACCCAGCATAGAGTTTAAATTTCAGTTGAATGAAAGTGCGTGGAATTAGGTGCTCTGCTGAGCTTAGATTAGTGCGCGGAATTATATGCTGCGCTACATAATTTTGCAAGGCAAATTTTTAAATTTTTTACTGATTTTTGCAAATCTTGTATTTTTTAATGAAAAAACGATTAAAAACCTATCAAATGTTACATTTGACGGTAACTTTTATCTTCTTCTCGTGTTTCTGTAAAGAGAAACAAATTACTCTCGCGTAAAGTGCGCGGAATAAGTGGCACTGGTGGTGTAGTGGTAAGCGTGATTGCCTCTCACCCCAAAGGGTCTGTGTTCAATCCCAGTCGGCGCCGCCGGGATTTTCTGAGGCATACAATTTCTGATCACGCCTTCCTTCGAAAGAGAAGTAAAGCCGTTGGTTTCTGGTCCACGAGTTGATGGGTTGACAGGTAGGGTCCAGGTGTGTGGGAGCTGCCTCCCTGGCATCGGTAGCATTGGTACTCAGTACGGAAAACAAGATCAACGGAAAACAAATCAAGGAAAAAAAAGATATACACATTAACTGCACTTCTACGAAGTTAGCTGAGCTGTTACATAGTAAGCTGAACTCCTACTTGCTGCACTTCCAGAATTCTATAAAGTTTTCAAATCTTTTTCGAAGTTTTCTGAAGTTCTACGGTGTATCCTGAAGATCTTTGAAGTTCCTTGAAATACTGTAATGTTCAGATTTTGTGCGAAGTTCCCTGAAGTTCAACAAAGTTTCCTAAACTTTTAAGGAATTCCTTAAACTAGGTATTCCAAGATTATTAAACTTTAACGAAGTGACCTGTTAATAAAATAAGGTCCCGGGACTTTTATGGAGAATCCAGAAATCAAGCAAGGTTTTTTCAAAGAAGTTCCCCGAACATTCTCAAAATTTTGCAAAGATCCCTGAATTTCAACGAAATTCTCAGCAGCTATAAGATATTCCTTGAATTTATATGTCAGAATTTCTACAAGGCTCCTTAACATCCACAAATTTATTGAAGTTTATCGATGGTCAATGGAGTTAAAGAAAATATGCTGAACTCCAACGTAGTTCCTCGACTTTCTACAGAATTTTCTTAAATGTATGCAAAATTTGATGACGTTCCACAAATTCTCTGAACTTCTTATACAAACAAGTGATACGAAGATTCCTGAATTTTCACGAAGTATCCTGAAGATCTTTGAAGTTCTACAAAGATCTCTGAATTATAGAGAAGTATTTTTCGTTATTATACACGGACGATCAGACCGACTCAAAATTGAGTCAAGTCAACTCGATTTCGTCAGAATTTATCGGGCTTTTCCAGGAATCGTTTTTCTCATTTGAGGAAAATCAATAGAGGTTTTACACAGTCTCTTAGTGTATTCCTAGATTGAGTAAAATTTTCAAATATTTTCTCTTATTTGACAAAAATCAACTTTTGACGAAATTGAGTCAACTCGATTCAATTTTGTTGTCGGTCTGATTGACCGTGAAGAGGCTTCAGCCACTTTTACTTAATGTTATAAGAACTTCTGTAACGACTGAGCTTTAAAAATCTGAAATATTGAACACATTCCTGAGTCCGCAAATTTTAAAAGTAGCGGTGAAAATAAGGCATTTCCTATTGAGCATGTTTGTCTGACTTGGAATTAGTAAGAAGAATCAGATTTCACCGCAGGTTTAAAAATTCAGTATTTTATTCTTATAAAAAATACCTTAAAGTATCTTAAAGTGATTTACCTGAACTTCTGATCCAGCCTTTTTGTTTTGCGTTGCAAAAATTAAATACCAAGCCATCGTTCCCTTCGATCCCCAAAGTGGATACATTTTTTTCCAAATTATCACGCTCCGTGACTCGGAGAGCCCGCGAGGTTCATCGGTCGTTAAATATTAATTACCGTTGAGCAGCAGCAGCAATAAATAACACTTGAATAAAAAAAACGTGAAAAACGGAACATCAAATAATCGAAAACAAAATATAAACAACGTCACGTTCTCACAACACCCTCCGGCTCTGGTCCGGAACGTGCGAGGTCCATTTATTTATTTATGTTTAATTCTTTGTCCAGCAGTGAGTGACCTTGACAAGGTTTGATCTGCCTCCAGTGTTCCATCATTTCTCGAAATTACGAAGTAAAAAAAAAACTGAATACACAAACATCAGTTAGGATATTATCCCGAGTAGGGCTAATGACATTTGAGGTTTTATTTCGGTTGAAAGCTGTTTTCGCCACACACTTAGAAGCTTCTTTTTTGCTACGTATTCGTGCCCGACGATGGTGATGGTGATGATGATGATGATGATGATAAACCAGTATCGGCCGGGTTGATTCGGACGAGCCTCGTTTAACTGTATAGATAGTGAGTGAGGGTGTGAAGATGAATTTCATTATGACCTACAGGCCTCCTCTCATAGTTGCTCAAGTGTTTTGCTTTGATCAAGCTGCCTTTGAACAGAATTCGGAATTGATTAAATTTTAGTTGCACGCCAGGAAATGATTTAAATTTAAATGTGAAACGGTTGATTCACAACCGTTCGCAAAGACAAGTGGGCCTTCAAGTAGCACAGCGGCCGATAGATATGGAGACACAATGCGCGGGGTAGAAGAAATGCCATTCTCCCTGGTTTGGCATTGAGATTATGGCGGCGCACGATAATGGCGTATTGTTTGCGTTTTTAATTAAAAATGGTCACCCATTAATGAAAACCGTTACCCATCAATAGTTGCCTCTAACGCACGGTTCATGGTCAGTGATAGTAGCAGCGACCTATTTGATTTTCGTAACAACAGCGGTAATTAGCAATCAATTGAGCGATTGAGTACAAATGGCTTCGAAGGCTATTAAACTGTCGATTGTGCAACAAAACCGCTGTCAAAATTTATGGTCGAAATAATCGAGACACGTGCAACGTTATTATTATTATTTTTTTTTTGAGGCTATAGTGTTGGCTTGAGGCTTGGTAATGGAGGTAGAAATGGCATAGCAAAACGGGGCGATGGGAATACTGAATGTGTTGATGATGTTCTTCTTTTTGGAATGTGTATCCTAAATGTACGCCTAAGAAAGTGATCCTCCGAACGGGACGTAAATTGGAATTGTCACGGTTATTCGCTTGATTTTGACGATTCACATGACAACACTGTGGGTTATGCAAAAACACCGATTCATATTTATCAAACTCGGCCACATGTAGCACGTTTCCTAAAACCAGCACCCCTCCAATGCATGTGACCAATGCTTATCTCTCGAAGTTAATTTGCTCCGGTGCCTGTTTGTATGTCCAATTTGCTGTCTACCTTGATTAGGTTTTTAGCATTCGATTCGATAAAAACACTCGCCTAATAATCGAATCCTTGAAGGTAGGCATCCCGCAGAGCACATTTTACAACAGCCGATAACGGCAGCTTGATGAGTGAGTGATTCAACAACCGAATCGCGCCATCAAATTCGACTACCAACCAACGAGAATGAATTGCTGGTCCTCCGTCCAGGCCGCCGCGACTCAGATGATTGATTGTCGCGTTAAGCGATTAATGAATGTATTAGTAGTATTAATGTGTGTTCACACTCCGCAGAGCGCTTGCTCAGCGACTTATAGTGTCATTTTTTTTTTATAGGTCAGTAAAGCACGTGCTGGCTCGCACGTAAACAACATTGAACGTCGCACTGGGAAAATAAAAGACGACTTAAACCTAGGGTGTTAGTGAAGTAAACAGAAATCAAAAATAAACTAACCTTCGGTAGGGTGGGCTGAGGCTGTCAGAACTTTTGGACAGTATCACATCTTGACTAGCTCGCCGGGTCCTGGGGTTTGGCGTAGTCGTCGTTGTTGGGTTGTTATTTTCCATGCGCAGCGATGATGAGCAGCGAGCGATACAGAAAGGATTGTGAGAGCGACATCCATGCAGGTAGGTTACAGTCGGGGGTGATGAATTTTCAAGGTTACGTGCAGTTCGGCAACGAAAGCAGGAAGATGTCCAAAACAAAAGATGTAACGTGACAGGAAATGAAAATAAATAGAAGAATAAAACGAAAACGAATAAGAAAATCGGGAAACTACTGACACAATGATGAGGTCTGAAAAAATAAGGTGAAACTTGAAACAATCGGAAAGGGTAACACAGTTAGATCAAACTAAAAACAAAAACTGAACTATATAGTTCCATCAGGTGTTTATGCATGCTTTCTTGTTCACACATTTCTGAAGGAAATGGTTTTGCTAAATTAATAGAGAAATGCACCCCAAAGTTTCTCGAGACGATCGCCTAGCTTAATCCATGAATACCCAAAGTGTATGGTCAAACTGTGTCCTAAATTTCTGCTTAATTTTTGTTTTTTGATGATCTTTTGTGGACAAACAAATTCGGCTCAGTCAGCCTCTTTTTGGTTCTAGCAGAAACTTTGCCAAAACACCATTTGTCTAGCTCTTAGTTTGACCGTGGTAGAGCAGTTCTTCAGTTTTGAACTAGGTGGTTCTCAAATTTTCATTTAAGATATGGAGCAGCCCAAGGCTGCAAGTCTCGATAATAAAGAAAACTGGACTCAAACTTTCATCGATTGCAACTCACTTTGAAGATTTGCGACCCACTAATGTTGGCGTTGAAGACTATGGCCAAATCGACCATAAAACGCCCCAAACAAACAACGAACGCATGGCCAGAAGCTCCTCACTTAAATTACCTTAAAACATGGAAATAGCTTAAAAACGCCTAATTATATAGTCATCAAGGAGAAAACTTAAAGGGACAGCCCAATGGGGTTGTTCGCAATGGTGACGTAGGACTATGTGGTCTTATATAATAAATTTATATAATGTTTTGTGTAGGAATAGGAATTTGAGCGGGGTTCTCTCTGTTTATACTATTTAATATGACGCGCTTGACATAGATGGCCCACAGCAACTCACGAAGAGCTACTGATTCCGATCAATAGCGGTGCGGCTTCTTCCTCCTTCTGTGGATGCTCATGTGGGCTGCAGCTCGCTGCTTGCAGGCAGCCTTTCGTTGTGTACTGGAGAACACAACCACTCACCACGCGGTGAGACCAACTTTGATATCTGTGTTAGGGAAATCGCTTTTCGCAAGCAATCGGTGATATTTTTAGTTATTATAGCAACAGTTGCACATTCGTGTAATTTTCAATAGTGATATTTTGAAAAATGATTAAGTCTTAAGTTTAACAGATGCTTAGAAAAAATTCATATCGATTGGCGTATTAATAATTAAAATCTATCATCTCTGGATCGAATTAAGACCACTTTCATGCCGCGACCGACTTTGGTTTTTGAAATCACACCCCTATGGTGTGTTAGATTCAAACATATCTAGATATACATGGTGAGCTGTATGTTGTTTGGAATGAGGGTGACGCGCTTGGCATAGATGGCCCACAACGACTCACAAAGAGCTACTGATTCCGATCAATAGCGGTGCGGTTTTTTCCTCCTTCTATTGATGCTCATGTGGCTGCAGCTCACTGCTTGCAGGCAGCCTTTCGTTGTGTACTGGAGAACAATTTTCAACGCCACATGCCGAAAGCACTGCTTCTGCTGTAACTGATGCCGACGACCACACACCACCACACACGGTGATTGGAACTGAATCCGATCAGCGGTTGAGGCCAGCCTTGGTAACTAGCTGCTTGCGGGGAGCTTTTCGTTGTGTACTGGAGAACACCACCACTCACCACGCGGTGATTGAATAAACACCGTTTGGTGAGACCGGATGGAATTAAACTTTGAAATCTGTGGTAGGGAAATTGCTTTTCGTCGGCAATTGGTGATAATTATCAAAGAAAAATTTTCAAAAGTGACATTTTGAAAAATGAAAAACTCTCAAATTTAGCAGATGCGTTGAAATATATCTGATCGATTGGTGGCAAAATTATTGAAATTGGTCAGGGGCAGCTGAGTTATTAACGTTCAAAATCTTTCATAATTTTGTTACATGTTCCATTTTCACAAAGTGTACTCCCATATAGAAATAACAGACGTAGTCCTACGTCAAAAAGTCACAATATCTCTGATCGGATTGGACCCTTCTTACTAATTTCAATTTCAACCAAATTGCTCAGGTCCACATTTAGGGAAGGGGAGTAAGATAATGCCTGAATATATGTAAATTTTCATGCGATATTTTTTTGAATCATGGCAGATTATGGACTGGGAGCACTCGAAACATGCCCGGTGCAAATGAACATGTATTTGAATATCGATGAGATTTATGTGATTTTAGATTTATGCTTCACCCACATTCCCGGTGGTACCCTGTGGTACCCGATACTTCGGCCCATCTAAAATTCTGGTCACTTCCCCTGCCCTTTCGTTCAGTTAAGGTAAGCGTGCGTTCTGCCAAGTTGGTCGAGGCAAATTTCATGCGTGAGTAAGTGATGACACTGGACATTGTTAAATGAAGTTCAATTTAAAAGACGCGGTTCTTATTTCACCTCATGTGATTCCAATGAGCCTCCTGAATGAAATGTGGCGCTTGCGAAGATCACTTGAAGATACGATATGACGGAAGTACTGATACTTATTGTATGAAACACAACTATATGGCTCCAGAAATTAGTAAATTAATTAAGCTAATTAAATTGAAAAGTTTGTTAACTGTTAGTCAACAAATTTAATGTTGCATTGAAATACTTTAAATTGTGTTAAATTTAAATGTTCCCTCATTTCACAAACGTTGAACCATTCTGAACGGCCACCCCGTTGTGGTTATATTACAGCATTACTAATAATGTAAAATGGAGCACATGCGATACGACAATGGAGTGATGCTCTTTAAGTCAGGCAACGTCTATTATCCGCACTGGTGTTGCGGTTTTTTAAGACGCAACTAGGAGCTCAAGATCATCATACAAAGATAATGGACGTCGAAATGTCGTAGAACACATCAGAAATATCATGGAATAATAGTAGCGACTAGCAGTGATGCAGAGAAGGACAACGAGTTCACAAATAGGCTCGAAAATTGGACAGAATGGTGAAGAAACAGTGAAAGTTGGTGAGATTGTTTAAAATTATTAATTTTTATTATTGCTCATATATTGGTAGAAATCGAAATAAGTAAGTAATGTAACCATGTTACATTCGATATGTATCAATGGAGACGCAGGATAATCTAGTCGTATTGGAGAAATGAGCAAAATTTCTAAACAAGATAACTTCAAAAAATCGTAATTCAAAAACGAAGAAAAACACAATGCTGGTTTTTTGATATGTTATGTAAAAAAGCCAAAATTTTCAAAGAAAAATATAAAAACGTGTTACGCCCATTGTCTACAAACCATGAAAACCATAAAAAAAACAAATACAATCAAAGTTGTTTTGTACAAAAGTACAAATTTTAAATAATTATTTTCTATATTTTTTCGGAAAAGCATTTTTAATGACCTTCCATTTGATATTTTGATCATTCAGATCGGCCCTGTGGTTCAAAAGTTATGGTCTTAAAAAATGTCATTTTTGGAAAATAGAAAAAAACAATTTTTTGACCAGCCTAACATGAAAATGGTCAAAAACAATTTCTATGTCTCATATGTGTATTTTAAGAGGGGGGGGGGGGTTAATGATATACCCCAGCCCCCTCACTCATATCAATAGTTTCAGTTTGAAATAACTTCGGAGTTTCTTATTTTATCAATTTGGTATGTTCAGGATGAATTATTCAAAAACATTTGCTCAATCTCATAAGCGTTATTAGACAACGGGGTGGGAGAGGGAAGGGCTTACTGTATGCAGTTTTAAAAACGAAAATTGTTGTAGTGTAAATATTTAATATCCACTTGTCGGTTCATTTGTTAGTGAGGAGATGTTGTTTGAATTATTAGCAGCTGGGAAATTTTAAATTTTTATACAAAGCATTTATTTGAAATACCACCACCAGTTTCGTCTCAGACACAGGTACAGTCGGATTTCGCTTGTTAGGCTAACTTTAAGTGGGCTCCCTAGACAAACGTCACTTCTAACAGTGCTGATTCCTTTTCGAAGTTTCGACCGGCTTCATGCAAAAACCGGCAAACGAGTGGAGTAATGATACAGATTATTTCAATGCGATACAACGAGTTGCTTCCTTGATGGTTGTCGACGATATGGCTGAATGAGGGGTGAAGCTAATTTCTTACTTATCAAGAAATCTACCCGAGACCTAGTTCAACAGCAATATTTGCTTCAAAGGATAGAACAGCATCGAAAAGAGTACCCTGAGAATCCAATGACATTTGTGTGAATATATCTGACATTGTATATTGCACCAAAAGAGTAGAGAAGAGAATGGTAGTGCTCGCTTTACAACTGCTCTTCTGAGATTAAGCAAATGTTTTTGAATAAACCATCCGAACAACTCAAGAGATGGGAAACTCCGATGTTATGTTAGTCTTTATCTTTACTTTCATTGATATAAGTGAGGGCCGGAAAGCATACAGTAAGCTCCCCCATATCTAACTACTCCTGCTAAATGGAGCACATGTTTTTGAATACATCTGAACATACCAACTTGACAAGATCAGAAACACCTAAGTTATTGCAGTTTGAAGCCTTACCTCCATTTAAATGGGTGAGGGGGGGGGGATATAATTAGCCCCTCCCCCTCATCTCTTAATATGCCTTTGAAATTGAAAAATTGTTTTTGAATAATTCATCTGAACTTACCAAAACGATAAAATAATTAACTTCGAATTTGGAGTCTGACTTTCATTGGTACACCGGCAGTGTTGGCAGAAAAGGGATTTTTGGTATTTAATTCCAAACATTGATCTTTGAACAGCTATAACTTTTTTTAGGGGCATTCTAGCACAATACA